TGAAAACAAAAAGTAAAAAGTGAAAAAATACGTGGGCGAGCACGTTTTGACACCGCCATCTTTGGCGATTCTTAATTCTTATTTGGCTTAGCCGAATGACTTGAAAATTTACAGGCATGTACCTCACGTCATAGAGAACTCACAAAAAAACAATCAGAAAATAATAATTATTCTTAGGCCCCGAAATAATTTTTGGCGGGGGCCGAACGCCGTCGGGTTCGGACCCCGTACGGGACCCCGAACGCCCGTACGTACGGAGGTCTGCCCGGGGACCTCCGTACGTACAGGCTGGTGACTCTGTTTGTGACGACATATATATATATATATATATATATATACCTACGGTTTACCGGGCAGTTCTGTTTGTGACGATATATATATATATATATATATATAGAGAGAGAGAGAGAGAGAGAGAGAGAGAGAGAGAGAGAGAGAGAGAGAGAGAGAGAGAGAGAGAAGTGGCCGCGTGCTGAAGCGCATGTTTCCCCCCCCCCGCTCCCCGCAATCAATCAATCAATCAATCAATCAATCAATCATTATTTTTTTAATTTAAAAAACACGAACTCACTCAAAAATATATATATATATATTTTTAATCATGGGGGGGCGCGGCCCACCCCCTGCAGCCAGAAGCGTGTCCTCAATCTGACGGACCCCCCCCCCCCCGACCGACACTTGGCGGGGCACTCCTGGTCATGACCAGGACCCCCAGTTGTGGCAGGGCTGGTCTCCTTTCAGGGGGACACATAGGCAGTGCTCATGCCGCTTCTGATGGGATGTACCGGCCTACCACTTCACAAAACATACATCCAGGGAAAAGGCATCGCGTGTCATTTTTCCACAATGCGGCAGTGCTCGCTCCGCATCTGGTGGGATGTACCGGCCTACCGCTTCACAAAATATACATCCAGGAAAAAGGCATCGCGTGCATGACCCATTTCGTCTGGATATACATTTTGCGAACCCGCAGGCCGGCACGTCCTGCCAGACACGTCGCAAGCACTGCCACATTGTAGAAAAATGGCTGGGAAAAAAACGTACTGGTGGTGTAAGGGTGGATGGTCTCTTGTGGCATTGCATCGGTATGTATCTGCCAGGATTTGAACTCATGGTCTATTGACTCTATTCATGAGTAGTTACATGTGCGTAGCACTAAGCCACTGGGCAGGTACAAGAGCTGTCATCTCTCCACTTGGACATGGAAATCAAAATTGAAAACACCCACAAGGTCTCGTCCCTTGCACCCAGGGGCGCACCCTGTTCGTTGAGAGGGATCTGATTGCAGTCAGGTTTCCGGCCAGGTTCCTTCCACCCACACATCTGCTTGTTGCGTGCTGGAGGCTCCGGTTCGGCCATGTCCCACTGATGTATGGGGAGACTGGTGGATCGAGCAGTCGTCGTATCCGCATCAATGATGAAACATGCGCACTAACAACGATGACAGCAACACGTGATGACCTCACTACCGTCTTCACCCGAAGAGAATGCTCGGTCATTACTGCTGTATTTGGCACAACTTTCAGTCCAGATACTGGTATAATTACCGGGTGTTCTATTCGGGGGAAGATGGTAGGTATCCTGAAAAAAGCCTACCAGGGGGTGACACTCATCCGCTTAGCTTGGAACAATACAGAGAAGACTAGCATGGCCCCTGCGCAAGGATGACACACATAAATCGAAAATTGGTCTTAAAAACAAAACAGAAAAAAGCGCCCAGAAGCAGCATATTTATGGGAAGAAGCTTGGATACTCTGCGGGAGAGTAACGGATATCCCCTTCCCGGTGGATAGGAGGACACTTCTGGTGGGAAGTGAGCCCCCCCGCGGCATGACAGCAGTACCAAAAGCCCATATTCCAGCTTATAATACAATATGCGCTGTGGACGATATCGAAGCACAGATGTCAACAGTTGATTGGGAATAAAGTTCAATAAACAAACGCAAAGACTGGAAGCGAAAGAGATTCTCTATAATCTGGTGGAAACGGATATACAGGCTCGATGGAAAGGGATCCGCAGGCGGGCGCAGCAGAGCCCACTACAGTCCAAGACATTAGCGGCAAGCACTCAGAAAAGGGTATTAGCCCAAGGCAAGGTAGCAACCGTGGAAGGTACTACGCTGATTTTTTTCCAATGCTTCCAGGGGATATATTTTTTTATATATATATCGTCATATATATATATATATATATAGATTGCTGGCTTGTGACGGGGTGTGAACCGACAGTCTGTAGAGTTTTCCATCTGGTGTGGGTGAGTGATAGTCTACTTTGATTTTGGTTAAGGTGGATTATCACTTACAGTGTAATCAGTGAGGGGATTCTACAGACTGTTGAGGGTTCAGCCTCCTGATGAGTCNGGGCAGCTCTATGCGACGAAACAGTGTCATAGCCCCTCGTTTGTTGTCCTCTTCTCCTCCCTCTCTGCCTACGGTTTATCGGGTCGTTGTGTTTGATTATGTATATAAAATTATAAATATATATACAGCCTCCTGATGAGTCGGTGAAACTCCGACGAAACAGTTTGTCACAGCCCCTCGTTTGTTGTCCTCTTCTCCCTCTCTGCCTACGGTTTACCGGGCAGTTCTATTTGACGATATATAGTTAGGAGTTTGGGGTTTAGGGTTTAGGGTTTCAACCACGAGTACACGGCGCCAGCCTTGCAGTCCAAAACGTGTTGCCACAAGAAAACGAGGCCGAAACATCAAACGCTGGGCCCGCCGTTGATAAATTCGATCAGCGGTCACGTTTTTGTTTCGCGCTTCCAGAATTTGAGGTGTCAGGCCCGCGGCCGAGGTGCCCATGTACTGGTGCTTGAAGCGTAGGAATAGTGGGGCAGGGAATTTGAACATCAGACCTATCTTATTTCGGGTCCCTTTTGGGTCTCGTTAAAAGCATAACATTGGGCAAATGCTCCCAGCCCCGGCTGTATGTGGGGTGGCCGGCCCCTCGTCTGGTTAAGTAATAATAAAAGTGTATTGGTTAAAAAAAAAAAAAAAAAAAAAAAAAAAAAAAAAGGCTGCTATCAGGGGGTGAGTTGGAATGACCAGAGTACCTGACAGATGACAAGACCAGTATCGGGCACATCGAACTACCGCCACCTGACACGTTAACCACCATAACCGGTTGTCGCTTTGTAATTTTTCAGTCTGTGGGCCTCGCTGCACTACTCTCGACATGCACAAAAGACAAAAATCATGGCGATGTATCTATCCATATTCTAGCGGAAGATTCGTTCTCGTTTTGCACATTTCGAGAGTAGTGCAGCGAGGCCCTGTGTCTCCGATACATCAAACAAACGACCGGTATCTGACACATTGAAACACCAATACCTGATATTTTTCTAAAGGTTTTTTGTTTGGTTTTTGTTAATAATTTATTTGGACCATTTCTCGATTTGTGTGTGTCATCCTTTCCACAGGAGCCATGCCAATCTTCTCTGTATCATTCCAATTTTTTAGTGGATGTCCCGAATGACGTCGTTGTAGATTTTCTTGAGCTCTGCGCCTCTCTGAAACAGTGAATGACTAGTTGATACACCCATGAACCGTAGAAATGCAGGCCTGAGTTCGGATCGAAATGGAACTAGATGAATGAAATGAATCAAGTGATTAAAATAAAATATTGTGAATTATCTGGGGCTGGTCAGTTCAACAATGATATCTCAAGGCCGTCGCCGTTTTTTTTTCTTAAACCCACCACTACCTTTCCCGCTGTTGGGGAAACGGGAAAATATCATACTCCTAAAAAATTGGGGGCTGTGCCCGACGACGATCGCCGTTGATAAATCTCATCGGCGGCCATCATTTTGTTTCAGCCTCCTAAAAGATCGAAGGCCCACCCGAGGCCGACATGGGAAAAGGTAGTGGTGCTTTAAAGGGGGGAAAAAAATAGTCAATGACCGGTGTCTGACTCATTAAACCGCACTACCTGACAGATTACACCACCACTGCAAGCGGGACTACAGTCTGTAGTCCCCCGAATACAACGCATGGTCATGATAGATGAATTTGGGGTATCTTTCAGTCTAAATACAGCTATAATGACCGTACATTGTATTCGGGGGAAGAAGGTAGCACCGGTGCTCAAGGGGTCCATGGGTCTCTGTGGGCCAACCGGGCTGAATTGGCTGGCGGGCATCATCTTGCTTGACCGCACCGCAGCTCGGACCACGAGGACCCATGGAAAATATGAGGTTCAACAATTTTGCTTTGCGGGCAGTGGTGGCATTAGGGTAGAATAACACCTTTTTTGAAGTTTTTCCACGTTGCCAAGTCCCACTGCTGACAGTCGTGCCCTCACTTTGTCAGCCTATCCCTCCCTCTAGGTTGTGATCCTGCTGCAGCCTTGTGGGAGGCTGATTGTGCATTTTTTTTTGGCAATTCTGTTTGACTCTGCAGGAGGGAGTTCCCTGGCCCAACTGTTCCGACATGGGGCTTCGTAAGCAGGAAATGGAGTGAAGGCCAGTTCGATGTCACATTTTACGACCTTGGTGGAAGTGCCAACATCAGGCGAATATGGGAGCAGTACTATGCTGAGGTGAGAAACCCCAAGCACATGAAACACCAAACCGTAGATCCAGAGACCTTCAGCCGTATGCCTGTTCTTCTTCTGCTCAAAATATTTTTACTTACCCTCAGTGGAGCACCATATAAAGTTTATAAACCCTAAACACTAGCACCTACCAATCCCAGCTGTAGAGCTTTCCTTCCATCCGCATTCCTCAAAACGACCTCTAGATGCTCCACGGCTAAACTCGCCTTAACTCAGCCACTCCTTCCTCAAGCTTCTTTGGCCAACCTCCCGTCTTCACCCGAAAGTAACGCCTGGGCGTTGTATACGAATATAACGCCCGGCCCGGCAGGCATTATATTCCTTTATAATGCCTGGGCGTTATATTCAGTAAATCGGTGGCAACTTCAGTGGGGCCCTAAAATTCAAAAAAGTTAAAAAAACTAAAAGAATTCTGTTAAAAATAAAAATCTATGTTGTCTAGAATTGCAATGCAACCAACTTTTGGCTGAGGGTCACTTCAGAATTCCTTCTAAATTCGGAAATGAAAAAAAGAAAACAAAACATAAAACCAAAACATACCCCTTGGAAGTCAAACCCCTTTTCAACCCCCTTTAAAACCCATGTATACACCCCTTTCCCCCCTTGAAAACCCATGTATACCCCCCTTCCCCCCCTTGAAAACCCATGTATACTCCCTCTACAAGGCACTGTCCATAGCACATTCAAATAGAACGCATGGGCGTTCTATTCGGGGGGAAAATTGAGTAAAAAGTTAAGAACAAAAATCTGATTTTTTAAGGGTAAGTTGAATATAATGCCCGGGTGTTGTTTTCGGGTGAAGGCGGTAGGTGCTTGGCCATGGGTGCACCTGGTACCCCAATAGCCTAGCTATCTTCTGAAGGTAGGGATCAGCCGTTTAATGAAGGCGTCTTTGCCCTGGTTGTATGGCCACAATCTCCGGAGGCTGGTGGAGGCATTGGTGGTTGAAGAGCTGTTTGCAGCCTGAGACTCCTTCCGTCTGAACTGTTCAGTGGTGCGTGGGCTCACAGCCGCACACTGAAAATGCTTGGATATAGAAAGTGAATGCTCAGGGTCACATCTGTGTGTACCTTCTTTACTCGAGGAATTGGTCCCCGGGTCATGAAAAATTGCTGGTCAGGCAACTAACTAGTATACACATTTGTTACATGCCCAGTTGGGCGATGTACATCGAGGATCCGCAATGTGATAAAAAGGACCGAATGGACAATGCAGTGCAAGTGGAATCTCAACAAGCAATGTGCATTCCGATACATACAAAATGGTGCTCTATAGCGCAGGGAAGACTTTAGATACAAGTCCTGACCTGACTGAGACTGACCTCTTTCACGTAGTACAAGATAGCGAAGCAGAATGCTAGAATACTAATGACTAGCCCAATCAATGTCTCAACGCAGACTAAACATACATCATGCTCCTCACAAGGTGTGAAGGAGCCTGGCGCTATACACAGGAAAGAAGCGCCAGGTCCAGACATACACAGACGAAGAGGAGGGGATCAGACGAAGAAGAGGAAGGGGGAGATGGGAAGTCACCAACACCAAGTCTCGTTACAAGTCCCAAACAATCCCTCTTCAAAATGTCTGAAGTCCAATGTCGAGTCTGGATCCAAATGTCACCATGCTCTCTCTCTCTCTCTCTCTCTCTCTCTCTCTCTCTCTCTCTCTCTCTCTCTCTCTCTCTCTCTCGTAGTCTGCTGATGCAGTGAAGTCAGATAGCGAGAGGGTGAGAAGGAGATGGTGGACTGAGAAGAAGAAGAAGAAGAACTCACTCTCTCATGTGTCAGGTACCTAACCTGTGAAGATGGCGCTGTGCTGCAGGTACCTCGAAGACGAAGCTGGAGCAACGGCGCTGCAGGTAAGTATCCCTGGCCTCCGCCCAATCTCTCTCTCTCTAGCACTACTCTAGCTATGGCGCCCAGCGCTGAAGACTACAGCTAACGCTACTAGCGCCCAGCGCTGAAGACTACTGCTAACGTTACAACTACTCCTGCAGTGCTCCTCCAGAATGCTGCTGCCGAATCCTGAAGACTACTGAATGCCTCCTGCCTACCCGTGAAGTGCATGGGAAGTCCCTATGTACTACCTCGGCCTGCCTCCTGACTGCCTCCGACTGCCTGCAGTTGCAGGGCAGGCAGTCCAGGAGGCTGCTCTTGCCAATGCCAAGCTGAGCCAGGGGCTGGCGCTGCAGCTGTCGTGGGAACAGGCCAAAAATAGCCTGTTCCTAAAACCCTGGTTCGGTGCCTGAGTTTCAGGGCAGGTCGGTCTGATGACAGACCAAAAATGGCCCTTCGTTTCAGGCTAAAAAGGCTACTGCCATTTTGAGTCTGAAACGACACAGGGGCTGTAGGCCCCTGTTTTTCAGACTTTCGAGCTGAACAGACACGGGGCCTGTAGGCCCTGTTTTTCAGGCTTTCAGCCTGAATTTCAGGCTTTCAGCCTGAGGGACGCAGGGCCTGGAAAATGGCCCTCGTGTGCAGGCGCAGCATGTAACATATTCCAGAAAGAAACGGCTATGGCGAAATTGGTTTACGCACCACACTTAGGATGTGGCGGCGCTTCCTGCCTTGTGCGTTCGAGTCCCGCTAGCCCGTACACTAGAAATGAAGAGCGATATGTATGGTTGAGGCCTTATTTTAATTTTTCCGGCACTATATGTATCTTTATTTATATCTCCTTTTTTGTTACCAAAGAGAGTGGATGGACAAAATCTGTCAGTGCTCACCCTGAAAACAGAGTTTGATCCAGCGGCCTAACTCAGTTGGTAAGGCTCGCAATGGGCATTCAGGAGGTCATGGGTTCAATCCCCATTGGGCTCATGTACCTTCCTGGCCATGCTTGGCGCCCGCCACCTAGAGATAGACCA